GCCTTGGAAATTAGCAAATAGTAAGGGGTTGCGGAAGCAATTATACAAAACATAAATGGTCCAATGAGCTGTATCGACCTACTACAAAATAGACAAGGTCCAATGAGCTGTGGTAACATACATGAGACAGAATATTTTAAAACTTGTATATATACATATAAGCATGTCGGTTGAAGGGCATCAATATTTACAAAACATTTACAAAAGTGTAATACCCAGGACCCAATTATACAAGCAGACGAAAACTAACACAAGCACAAAAACAGCCATGAGACTGGACATCAATCGGAACCTCCTCGGAAGGCACAACAGTTGGCTGACAAAAACAGGGATGAAGGCCGTCAACTCTGGCCCTGATCACGCGCCGGCTCACCTACATACATAATATAAATTGTGAGCGAAAGCTCAGTGAACAATAACAGAGTAAAGGGGTTTCAATGAATAAGCCTGCATAGATTCAGAAATCATAGTTCATAAGCTGTCCAGATCATATACAGAAATTATAAGTCATGCGTACGTATACGTGATACATCCATTAGCATTAACAGAGCAGATACAGAACAGAGACAGACACGTGAGGGTTACGAAAAACCAGTTCCATAAAGGAACCTCCGGATCCGGGTAACAGAGAATAAATACGCTGAGCTCCATGACGGAGCCTCCGGTACGGGTAATAGAGTGCAAACAGATTATGTTCCATGGTGGAACCTCCGATACCGGGTAACAGCTAACACATATCACATGATGCTAAGGATGTCACGAGTATATATCAAAAATTGGACAATCATTCATTGTACAGAATGTAGCATATCGGAAAACAGATCTTATTTTATCATTCAAAAAATAAATATAGTTGAACATAACTTTACTAAGTTATTACTCACAGTTAGCCTTGAGACCGACAGACGGAGCAAACTAATTAATGGTGTATGGCACGTGACCTACAGAACACATAACAGATACACACTTGAAACATACTTTCGAATCGTACATAACTTGTTTCGTTTGCTCTTAGTGTGTTTCTAACCCTTTATTTTCATTATGAGGTCTTAAATATGGCCTAGGAATGCCTATGATGGAATGAGGATGCAAAAATGCATTGAAAACTAATTCTCAAATTTTGCTAAAGATAAGGTCCACGCTCGAGCATGGCTTTCTCCGCTCGAGCGGACATGCAGATATTGAAGCTCCGCTCGAGCGTGAACTTCCCCACTCGAGCGGATTGTAAAATTTGACAAAAGTACTGGATGCATGATTTTCACGCTTGACGGACGCTCGACCTCCCGCTCAAGCGTGAGACATAGATTCTCGCTCGAGCGTGGATTCCCTCGCTCGAGCGGACTGCAAAACACATGAACTTCTGGGTATATGCATTTCACGCTCGAGCGTAACCCTTGACGCTCAAGCGGAAGTGCATGTACTCAGGCTTCACACTCGAGCGTGAAAGTCCCCGCTCGAGCGTGGATCAAATTTCTGAAAAATCCAGATTGATCTCCAAGCATGAAATTCAACATTTAACCATCCAAAACTCATTTTTTCTGGGCCAAGACTTGGGGAAAAGCATGAAAACTCATAAAACAACATGTATTGAAAATCATTTCAAGAAATCATGGCCCAAAAGTATGCAAATTGTACAAAATTCAACTTGGAATTTAAAGTTTATTCAAGAACATAACATGCATGCACATTCTTGAGCTAAGGCCCTCCAAAACATAATCAAATTCTACAAAATAACATGAAACTCATTGTGTTTCCAAAATTAGACTGAACTCAACACATGCATGAAGGAATTCTTGAAAATCAAACTTCAAAGTGCTATGAAACATGCATGGATTGATCCACTTCCCTACTCCTTAAGCTTGATTCCCACATCTTATAGCTCAATTAACTTGAATTCATGCATGAACAACTTAAACTCTCAATCAAAAGAATGGATTTCCTACCTCAAGTCTTGAATTCTAAGTATGGTAGCTCAATCATACAACTCTTCTTCAATTTCTTCTAATTTTCCAAGCAATTCTTGATGAATCAATGTTTTTCCTCCCAAGTCTCCCTCTCTCACGTTTCTCTCCTTTAGAATGGGCTCAAGTGTGATCAAAATGAATAAAAGAGGTGAATGGGGCTCAATTAGCCTAATAAGTGGTAACTTGTTCAAAAGTAAACAAATGGCATTATTTTAATCAAATTTAATCGTTCCGAACCGAATTTTACGTAGACCTACCATAAAATTCTATAAATCCTAGTTAGCACATAGATCAAGTCAATTTTTTATTCGAACGCCGATAAGGCTTTCAATTCGCAACTTGAAGTTCAAACGAGAACATATATTTCTACACTGAATAGATAGAAACACAAAACTCATGCAACACACATGCAAATCAACTCCAAATCCTTTCTAAATTATTATTAGGCATAATTAAGCACAGATTAACATTAATCATGGGTCGGGGTTGTTACACTTGTTGATTAAATGAATATTAACTGCCCTTATTCTCAACGGTTTTGGAAAATTATGCGTAATTAGAAACCAATTTTCTATTCAAGTAGGGCATTTGAATCACTCACAAGTGTGCTCAAACTCAAACAGATACAAAGTATGATCAAACTACTTGAGAGAGAGAGAGAGAGAGAGAGAATGTGATCTAACTAGAAAAACTGTAGTTCAATATCCATCTAAGTGTTTGTCTTGGTTTGTTTAGATGTGAATGCAAAGGTTAACTTACAAAATTGAGGCTTGCTATTTTCAAGGATACGCTATAGTGATAAATTTTTTGTTATTGTTTTTTCTTAATATGAATAGTTCAATATATGCATCGTCATAAAAGAAGTAATATCAACCTTATTGGTGATTTTAGGTGCTTGAAGGAACAGCTAAAAAAAAGAAATTGCTCTCACCAAAGGGCATGGACGTACACCCAATGATGGAAGTTGTAAAAGGTGCAGCCTTTGACATTTTGCAGGTAAAAGATATCTTATTCTTCAAATGTTGTCCTCTAGTTCTAGTAACAAGATGATACTTCAATTTCTTTGTTTGCAATTAACCTTATGTAGATGCTATTTTGATATACTTATAATGTTGTTTTATTAAGGCGGCCGGTGGTTGTCCTGCATCTTTAAGGCCTGGTCGTTGGTTAGACTTGTATAGCGGCACAGGATCTGTTGGTTTTGAGGCTCTCAGCTGGGGATGTTCTGAGGTACTATGATTAATTTAGTAAACTAGCAGTAATTTTTTAATTAAATTTTTGGATAGTTTGATGTTTGACAAAAATTAATTAAAAATTTTGGACTATTTGATGAAGCAGAAAAAGCATTCTAAAAGTTAGGATGTGATAGTTTCTATTACTAGGTAGGAAGGGGTTGACAGTTACAAGATTGGAAAGGCATTATTAGAAAAGTAAAAAGCATGATAGCTTTCACATCAACTCAGGTGTATGATTTATATAAATAAAATAGATAACTGTTTATAGCGTTGCTAACGATGTTTGGCTGATTGCCTAGCTAGTAAATTAATGCTGAACTCATATAGGATGGAGTAGCTTCATGATATAGTTGAAAAGATGTGTTTGACTTGAGTTTTGGCAATGAGATTTTTTGATGAGTTGTTTGGTTTTAGTTTCTTTTGTTGTTTTGATTTCATGTTTCTCTTATTGGTTTGCACTAAAATACAGGCTGTGCATACTGTCAGGTGCATTTTGTCGAGATGGATCCTTGGGTTGTTTCAGTTGTTCTACGACCAAATTTAGAATGGACTAGTTTTCTTGATGTTTCTGTCATACATACAGCCCGTGTCGAAAGGTTCTTACAACAGGCTGAGCGGTTTGTAGGTATGTGATTTCTTCTTCTCTGCTCTCTCTCTCTCTCTCTCTCTCTCTCTCTCTCTCTCTGATTTCTGGCCATCTGCAAACAATCATTTCTAATTGTTGTGTAGTTGCCAAAAGTATTGTTCTAGGTTATCAGTTCAATTATTACCTTAACTCCTATGTTCTGACTATTGAGAGGAATATATTTTTATCTACTATAACCAATAGAAGTACTATTGCCTACCAGTATTATAGATTTAATTTGTTTTTAGTATATCATTTCCTATTCTCATGTGTTTGCTTGTCTTTGTGTATGCTCTTATATGCATGTTTTGTGTGTTTGTGTATGAGATCCATGGATGGTTGTCTTCTGATAGTTTTTCTTTCATTTTCCTTCTTTACTAAGAATGATTGCGCTATCTTTGACGAAAGGGCAAAAGATAATGATCACAATTTACCCACCATGACATTTATCACTCGTGATTATCGCTTTTTTACACCAAGCCCTGTACACTATTTTTCTATTGATTTGTTCTTGTCTTTCTATGATCTGAAGACTGAAGCCTATATTCTTATAGAGACATTGCAACTTATGAATTGTTTTTGTGTTGGAAAAGATGGGCCATTTGATTATATTAGCGTGACACCTCCATATACTGAAGTGGATTATGGGGTACTGATGGATCAAGTTTCAAAATCATCTATAGTTGGAGAGGATACCTTTATAGTAAGTTGGTGTTTTTCCCATCGTTGCTAAATTCATTTTTATGTGTATATTTTTCACCCAAGTTTCTTTCGAAACTTCCAAATTTTGTGTTCTAGGTAGTAGAGTACCTTTTAAGAACAGACATGCTGGATTCATGTGGATGCCTTATAAAGGTACTTCCTATGACCATTTGTTTTTCTGTTGGCATTTAATTTATAAATGAAGATAAATGGTTGCTCTTTTGACTTATTACTTCTTTTACATCTAAGAAGCAAATGAATCCCCTCTTCTGCTTTTGTTCTACCATTCTCACCGTTATTTTTCCACTATGGTTTCAGTTGAATGGAACGATGCAGAAAAGGAAATAAAATCTTGAATAAACTTTAAGGTGAAGGAGAACTAATATCTTATAGTAAAAAACTCCTTCCATGTTTTTGACATATTTTCTTTTTCTCCTTATTTTCCTTCTTTTGTCATTCGAATAAATTTACCACATGGAGTTTTCAGGTTTCCACTTTCTGACATTCTTATTGGTGTTTTATTATTTTATTTATTTTTTCTCGTTTACTTTTTATTTGGATAGTTTTGGGGCAAAGGTCTTTATATCATGTAGTATTCATGTCCCTGATTTTTGTATGATAAGAAGTTCCTGCATACTTTACTTGGTTTTGTGTTCTAAGGCACCAAGGCTGTGTGGGAATCTCATTTTCACAACCTGCTATGGGCATCTTATGCTAAGGCTCGTTCATCTTGCCTTTGCACAATTCAGGGATGCCTTCCTAAGGCTAAATAAGATTACCACACTAAGTGCTTATCTCATTCACAAACCCCATATGGGAATCTTATATTCCTGGAGCGTTCTAGAGTGGGGAAAAAGAGAAATCCAGGATAGAATGCTTGATTTTTTGTAGTTGTTTCTGGAAGAATTTGCAATTGTTCTCAAGTTTTCATTCAGAACTTGCTGTTGACTTTGGTTTTGTGGTTCAGATGGGGAAGTTGAAAAGACGCATTCAACCTAGGGACATTACTATAAATATTGGAAAGGATGCCCCAATTCCCGAATGCCCTATTCCTGGTGAAAGGTAGTTGTTTCTGCCATAATTTTATTGGAAAATAGGAACAAAGTTGTGTCTCTGTTTTAAGATTTTTTATAAATTAACTTTACAAATATTTGATCTTTGTAGATGGAAAGAAATAAGGCACGACAACATAGTTACATGGCTTGCTTTTTGGAATGATCCAATCATCCCAAAGGAATTCAAATATGTGTTCTTGGCAGCTAGCAGTTCTTTGAAAGGGCAAAGTGACAAGGAGAAATATGAGAAATCAAGGATGTTGAAGGTACTTTACATAAAATTTTACCTACACATCTGATGAATGCCATTTCTATTTGTGTTAGACAATGTAGTAGTAACTTCTCGTCCCTTAGCTATAACTATAATTCGTTGTTTGATTGTAGGACTACATACAAGGCATCAGAGCAGCTTATACTAAAGATTTTACCAGTAAGGATATCACAAGACGGCAAATAGCAGTTACCACCTATCATATTGATAAACTAGCTCTCAGGGCAGGCAATGACAAGGTATGGTGTATGTAATTATTTTCATCATGTTTATGTTTATCTTTTACTCTCTTGTTCATGGAACATCCTCTTTCTTTTTCCTCCCAATGTAGAAGCATAGTTGAGAATCTGACAACAGGTAATTGGTTAAAACTCTGTTGGATGGGGTGGACAACCTTCTCTGTGGAGGAAACATAGTGATGCAGATCATCTTACAGATGCTAATAGTGTTTTATTTACTTTATATAGATGCATGCTTTAATGTATAAACACATGTATTATGTATATATGATGAGTCCTCTGCGATCTTGCTCAGAAAATAAATAGAAACATAACAAAAAAAACGAAACAAGTTTTGGAGCCTTTATTCTTATAATTGTTTCGATCTTGCAGGATGATGATGAAGTTGATACCGTTGGTTGCTGCACATTGAAAGTAGAAAATGTAGAACCAATGCCTCCAAATATTCTGAAGGTATAATGGCGTTTATGTCTCAGATAGCAATGTTTTAAACCTTAATTTACAATTGGATTTGGTTATAATAATATTTCTGAGTTTGGTGGGTTATTATATTGAGATTTTGAAGTTTTAAATGACTAAAAAGGGGACTACATGATATGAAACTGGAATAAGTTTTTGGAATATTTTGAACCTATTAGAAACATGTAACAATACAAAGGTTTTTCGTCAACTGCAATTAATAACAAATCAATATCTTTTCTAGTTTTCTAGTTTGACTTCCTTGGTAAAGATTCAATTAGATACCAAAATGAGGTTGAAGTTGAACTTCCTGTGTTCAAGGCAATTCAGCAGTTCCGAACTGGTTAGTGGATGTGTGGCCTTTTGTATCAAAATATCTCTTTCTGCATTTCATGATAAAGACATGCTCACATGACCTTGTTTTTCTACAGGAAAAAGTGGCGGCTATGATCTTTTTGATAAGCTGGATACCAATAAACTGAATGCTCATCTGAAGGAACTCATGCCTGGTCTCACAGCAAAGGTTTTCCGTACATATAATGCATCTATAACTTTGGATGAGATGGTAAGAGGCAAACTGGGATTTTTCACACCTTGAAGTTAGTATTTTTCCTGTGAATATGAATTTACTATGTTAACCAAACTTTTGGTACACATGGGAGTGTTTGTGTTGGTGTTTGGATTGTCTGACCATCAACTTTTGGTACACATGGGAATATGGGACCCGGCCAAATAGTTGTACCGGTGCTTATTTGAAAGGTGGTACTACGGTGAAGTAATAAAAAAAATCAATAAATATGGGCTATCTAGCAAAACATATTGGAAATAAGATTTTGAAATATAACAAATAGTTGTTGTCATTTGACATTATTGAAAGTAGAAATGGTTTTTAACAAATAATTGCTATCATTTGACAGTAGTGAACTTGATATGCATTGGCAAGATAACTCAACTCAACTTACCACACTTTAATCCCAATTATTTGACTTACAGTAGGACATGGTGGTAATATGACATCATGGTTAAACCAATTTACATTTTTGTTGATTGTATTTCCAGATGATGAAGGCTATATATGGTTTGTAGATATAGTAGTCTGAAACATGGAGTAGTATATGCAATGAATAACATAACTTAAGCAGTTGTAGTGAGCACGTGATTTATTATTTTTTATTTATTTATAAAAAAGCATGTTTATCTTTGCGATTTAAAAAAGTTTTATATTGAGGGGATTCATTTATTTAAAAAACATGTTTTATCTTTGCGATTTAAAAAAGTTTTGGCATTTGTTTTTCTGTTGGCATTAGCAAGAAAGGGTATTAATTCAAACATTTTTTTGTTTGAATTAATACCAAACAAACACACCATCACCAAAAGATCAGGTATAAAATATATCTTTACATTCTAAGCTAAAATGTATCTTTGCATTCTTTGCATTTTCAGCTAAGAGACTTGTGGGAGAAGACGGGACTCAAATCGGGTTCTCGGATTGGGAGTTAGAGCCGAATTTCATTTTAGGAAAACTAATTCCTTAAGAAACTTGAATACGAGGTGTTAATGCCCCAAAATACCAAACGAGGTCGGATTGGCATGAAACTTAGCACACACTACCGCCTAGGCACAAGAGACTTGTGGGAGAAGACGGGGCTCGAATCGGGTTCCCGGTTTGTGAGTTAGAGTCGTATTTCGGTCTAGGAAAACTAGTTCCTTAAGAAACTTGAATTCGAGGTGTTGATGCCCCAAAATCACCAAATGGGGTTGGATTGGCACAAAACTTGGCATACACGACCGCCTAGGCACGAAAGACTTGTGGGAGAAGACGGGACTCCAATCGGGTTCCCGGTTTGAGAGTTAGAGCCGTATTTCGGTCTAGGCAAACTAGTTCCTTAAGAAACTTGAATTTGAGGTGTTGACGCCCCAAAATCACCAAAAGTGGTCGGATTGGCACGAAACTTGGCACACACGACCGCCTAGGTATGAGAGACTTGTAGGAGAAGACCGGGCTCGAATCGGGTTCCCAGTTTGGGAGTTAGAGTCATATTTCGGTCTAGGCAAACTACTTCCTTAAGAAACTTAAATTCGAGGTGTTGACACCCCAAAATTACCAAACGGTGTCGATTTAGCATGAACCTTGGCACACACGACCGCCTACGCACAAGAGACTTGTGGAAGGAGACGAACTTCAATCGGGTTCCCGATTTGAGAGTTAGAGCCAAATTTCGGTCTAGGCAAACTAGTTCCTTAAGAAACTTGAATTCGTGGTGATGACGCCCCAAAATCACCAAACGATGTCGATTTAGCATGAAACTTGGCACACACGACCGCTAAGGCATGAGAGACTTATGGGAGAAGACGGGACTCCAATCGGGTTCCCGATTTGGGAATTAGAGCCGAATTTCAGTCTAGGCAAACTAGTTCCTTAAGAAACTTAAATTCGAGGTGTTGACGCCCCAAAATCACCAAACGGCGTCAGTTTAGCACGAAACTTGGCACACACAACCACCTAGGCACTAGAGACTTGTGGAAGAAGATGGGACTCCAATCGGGTTCCCGGTTTGAGAGTCAGAGCCGAATTTCGGTCTAAGCAAACTAGTTCCTTAAAAAACTTGAATTCGAGGTGTTGACGCCCCAAAATCACCAAACGACGTCGGTTTAACACGAAACTTGGTACACACAACCGCCTAGGTACGAGAGACTTGTGAGATAAGATGGGACTCGAATCGGATTCCCGGTTTGGGAGTTAGAATCGGATTTTGGTCTAGGCAAACAAGTTCCTTAAGAAACTTGAATTCATGGTGTTGACGCCCCAAAATCACCAAACAGCATCAGTTTAGCACGAAACTTGGCACACACGACTGCCTAGGCACAAGAGACTTGTGGGTGAAGACGGGACTCCAATCGGGTTCCCGGTTTGGGAGTTAGAGCCGGATTTCGGTCTAGGCAAACTAGTTCCTTAAGAAACTTGAATTTGAGGTGATGACCCCCCAAAATCACCAAACGACGTTGGTTTAGCACGAAACTTGGCACACATGACCGCCTAGGCACGAGAGACTTGTGGGAGAAGACGGGACTCCAATCGGGTTTCCAGTTTGGGAGTTAGGGTCGGATTTCTGTTTAGCCAAAATTATTTACTAAACTATCTTTGTAATTATATAATAGTTAATTTTTTATATTTTTCTGTAATTAAAATATTAACACAATTATATTGTCATTAATTATTTTTATTTTGTTATTTTCAGAGATTTCCTGAGTAGCAGTTTGCTTCTTGTAGAATGCAAGCGTGTAAAGATTATGACCAACTTTTGTTTTTGTAACCCACGGAAGAATCATGACGAAAACTTTTGTTTTTGATTTACGTTATTTAGATTTATGAACAACATTATGTATGTATTATGCAACATTATGTAGTGGGATAATTTTGCTGATGTATTGTTTTGAATGGAAGAATATTTTAATTATGGATGAATTTTTATTTATATACTGGATTTTTTATATTATTATGCAATTATCGATTTTTTTTATAGTTATTTTTCATTTAATACAGGTTATTTTCATATTTTTAATAATTTTATTACAGTTTTTTTTTTTTTTTGAGACGGCACGACACACACCGTCTCAAAAAGAAAATAGAGCCAGGGTTTTTTGCGACGGCAATAATGCTGTCGCAAAAGATAGGGGAATTGGTTGAAAAGGAAGACCTTTAGCGACGGTGTTATTTGCCGTCGCCAATAGTACTTTAGCGACGGCATCAGGTGCTGTCTCAAATAACCCTTTAGCGACGGTATTTTTGCCGTCGCAAATAACCCTTTTAGCGACGACAAAACAGTGCCGTCTAAAAAAAACTCAGATTTTCACGCGTTAATGCCGACAGAATTTTTCCGTCGCAAAAAGGCATTTTTGCCGTCGCAAAAAAAAGGCGACGGCGTTATTCCGTCGCTAAAACCCTTTTGCGACCCCCTACTTGCCGTCGCAAAAAGCCAGTTACCGTCGCAAAAAACCTTTTGAGACGACGTTTTGGGTATTTGCGATGGCATTTTTCCGTGACAAAAAAGTAATTTTTTTGTAGTGAAACAGGTCCCACGAGCATTGGGAAATATTTTTTAAAGAAGTGTATAAGAAAATAAACATTACACGTTACAATACAACATGTATAATAGAAAACATATATTACTCAATATGAATGCAAGAAAATCACTTGTATATATATTAGAGATGGGCGCGGGTTGGTTGCGGCTACGGAACTTCTAATCCGTTATCCGTCTGCCAGGTTGGCGGATTGGAGAAAATCAATTCGCATCCGTCCGCCAATTCGGTGGATGTGGATTGAGCGGATTGGCAGATGGATTCGAATCGGTTTGGTAGTTTAAAATTTTATAAATTTTTAACATAATTCAACTTGTGCACTTCTTAAAAAAAAAAAAAGTATTACAGTCAATGACTTAAAAAAGTATTACAATCACTGCATGTCTTATCTAAAGAAAGAAAGTTGGAAACTTTAAAATATTACAATCACAGTATGTCTCTTCTACATAAAGCATTACAATATGTGGTTCTTAAAATATAAAAAAAATTCAAACCATCAAAACTATGAACAGAGTAGTAGTAGAGATTGTATGCCTCTGTATTGTTACATCTATATCTGTTTTTTAAAACAAAAACTAACCAACATATATCATCTTTTGTCTAAAAAAAACTCAGATTTTCACGCGTTAATGCCGACAGAATTTTTCCGTCGCAAAAAAAGGCGACGGCGTTATGCCGTCGCTAAAACCCTTTTGCGACCCCCTACTTGCCTTCACAAAAAGCCAGTTACCGTCGCAAAAAACCTTTTGAGACGACGTTTTGGGTATTTGCGATGGCATTTTTCCATGACAAAAAAGTAATTTTTTTGTAGTGAAACAGGTCCTACGAGCATTGGGAAATATTTTTGAATGAAGTGTATAAGAAAATAAACATTACACGTTACAATACAACATGTATAATAGAAAACATATATTACTCAATATGAATGCAAGAAAATCACTTGTATATATATTAGAGGTGGGCGCGGGTCGGTTGCGGCTACGGAACTTCTAATCTGTTATCCGTCTGCCAGGTTGACAGATTAGAGAAAATCAATTTGCATCCGTCCACCAATTCGGTGGATGTGGATTGAGCGGATTAGCAGATGGATTCGAATCGGTTTGGCAGTTTAAGATTTTATAAATTTTTAACATAATTCAACTTGTGCACTTCTTAAAAAAAAAAAAAGTATTACAGTCAATGACTTAAAAAAGTATTACAATCAATGCATGTCTTATCTAAAGAAAGAAAGTTGGAAACTTTAAAATATTACAATCACAGTATGTCTCTTCTACATAAAGCATTACAATATGTGGTTCTTAAAATATAAAAAAAATTCAAACCATCAAAACTATGAACAGAGTAGTAGTAGAGATTGTATGCCTCTGTATTGTTACATCTATATCTGTTTTTTAAAACAAAAACTAACCAACATATATCATATTTTTTATTTATTATTTTTAGAATTAGATTTAAAAACCAAAAAATATAGAAAAATAATACATTTATTTTTTTCAATTCAAAAAATATATTCAAGTTAAAAATTCTTTTTCAACAGAATATATTCAATAGAATATTTAAACTCTTTTTTAATTGAAAATACAAATTGTGGTGATGTGGTTTGGAAATACTCTTGGATCTTGAAGGACGTTCTTGATCCTCTGATTGCCACCTGAAAAAGGGATTAACATTCCGGTCGAGGGTGCCGGAATTAGCAC